CCGGTCCGAATATGTTCATCAGTATATTTTCCCCCACCGGAATATATTCAGACCGATATTGGTTCGAATATTTATTTTTTCGGACCGAAACGTTTCGGTCCGTATATGATCGGTCCGCATACGTCATTTTTCTAGTAGTGTGAATTGTATAATGATTAGGATAAAAATAGTGTTTAACTAATGGTGCAACATTAAAATTTATTAAATAATAATAAATTTTCCTAAATCATATTGTTGAGGCGCTAACATTCTTAAATTTTCAAGTGAAGGGCTAATAATCTTAAAATTTATAAGTTGAGCCTAAATAAAGGGTTAAGCTGTTTAAATATATTTGTATCTCATTTAAAATTAATTAATAATAAATAAAGTAATTTTTTATTTAATTGCCATGGTTCTTTATTATTTTTTTCGGAATTTCCCAACTTAACAGGAGACTTGGGTATAAGGCTTTAAGTTTTTATCAAATTCACAACTGAGGACTTAAAGTTTTATTATGCTCCTATAAGGTCTTGAAATCATCAAAATTCTCCAATAGGATATTAATTGGACAGTAATCGTTAGGTTTGTAAAATTAGTAGCTAACGTTGTTAACTCTAATTGGTTAAATATTAATGGTTTATAATTTTTCTATTTTATCTTTAAAGGACCTTAAAACTTTCAATAACCTCTAAATACTCCTTAAGTATATTTATTTTGTAGAACTCACAACTAACAGTTAAGGGCAATGATATAAATACAATCTTATTATATAACTTCTACACATTATTAAATTAATAAATGTACTCAATATTATAAGTCTAAAATGAATAAAAAAAACCAATCATTTAAATACCACATAAGATTATATAAAAAATAGTACAAAAAGATGGTACAAAAAATGTTGTTTCTGAATAATTTTTCAAAAATAATTTTTTATGATACTAAAAATTAATTTTTCTTTTTAATTTTATGTGACACTTATATGGCTTATTATTAAAAAATTACATTATTATTTGTGAAACTATAACAAAAAAAATATATCAATTAGTTAAATAAAAGAAGAACAATGGAAAAAGAAAGGGAGGATGGAGAAAGAAGATAAGGGTATCATCAGGTTCACAAATTCATCACCATTTTTCAAATAAATAAAAATAAAAGATTAAGTTATTTAATTAATAAACTAAAAAGTAAAATTTCACTTAATGGTTAATTAATGTTTAATAAAATTATTTAATAATGAATTAGTAATTTATTACAACTAAATAAAATTAATTTTTAGTTTGTGGTCCTAAAAAATAAGTTTAAGGAATATTTTGAAGTTATTGAAAGATAAAATAGAAAAGAGAGGAACAATTTTAGATGTTTAACCAATTAGAGTTAGTAGTGTTAATGAGGACCTAAAGGTTTCGGCCCAATTGGATCTACTATGAGAATTTCAATGACTTAATTACCTTATTTGAGCATAATAAAATTTTGAAACCTTAGTTACAAATTTGATGAAAGTTTGGGATCTAATTTAAATACTTAAGCCATTAATACTACGAGGGTGTTTTATAAAACGTAAAGAGTTCTTACTTTTAAAAATAAATGTTTCTCTCACAAATTTAAATATTTATTAAAGGAAAATTTAAATTTTAGCTTTTAAAGTGATTTTTAAGTAAAATTTAAGCAAATTATAAATCTAAAAATTCTCAAAGCCTACATAAAAATTATTTTAAAAACTAATTTTTGAATTTTTTTAATAAAATCTAAATTTGTAAAAAAATTTACTCTTTATAGCAAGTACTTACTAAGTTTTGCCAAATACTCTATTAATGAACCACACCCACTAGGTTTAGAATTTTACTGGTAATTGTTCTCCACTTCTCCTAGACTTCATTTCTTTTTGTTGGGGTTCTTGTTTTTTAGAAGAAAAGAGTGTAAAGAGGAGACTTATAGGACAAGGAGGGACACCCGGAGTTTCATCTCTTGGGGCGGTGAAAAATCCTTTTTTCTTCATTGATGGAGTTTCCTCTTTTGGTGAGGTGCTACTCAATTTCTTCTTCTGTCATTATATAGCAGAAATCTTATTAGTCCTTGTACTATGTATTTTCGTTGATTGTCATCCCTGTATACCAGAGTAGTTCATTGTCGTCCCTTTACTATTGTCATCCGTCGATTTTGGAAAAACATTACATTGTCGTCCTTGGATTGACACCGTTACAAACATTAGAGTAACGGCAGTCATTTGACGGTTAAGCGTGAAACTTTTTATTAAAATAATACATTTTCAATTCCAACTTTTAATGGGAGGACCCATGGTCATGTCACGTCAACCCAAATAACTATTTCGTCCACCTTATCCTCTTGTTCCCTCGTGCAGCCTAATCCTCAAATCTACAAAATCATTTTTTTTTCCACATAACAAAATGTTATGCTTTTTTTTTTTCACTTTTTTATGCCACATAAGCAGTTTTAGCAGATTCAATCAATAGAAGACCTTATTATTAATTAAAGGTTTTTATTATTGCACTAGCATTTGGTGAGTTGGTAAATGTGCATCAAACACTTTAATTTATATTAAGATTAAAGTTTTTATTAGAACAATTGTAATAGTTTTTTTAAATTTTCTCTTGTTTAAAAGATTTTTATTATTAATTAAAGATTTTTTCAATTTATGTTTTTATAATACATATTAGGGATATAATTAATATATTTTTTACTCATTAAATCATATAAAAAATAAAAAAATTGATAATAATTTTAGTATTAATATCAAGTGTATTAATTTAATTAGTTAATTATTAAAATTAAAACTAAACTTATTTCTTTTATATAATTTAATGACTAAAAATTATATTAATTATACACTTAATCTATAATTTAAGAATACATATTAAACAAAATTTTAATCAAAACAAATTCAAACTTCAAGATACAATTTTTTTAAAAAAAATATTTATGGATTCAAACACACAATTCACGAAAACGAATTTGCACTTACTCAAGATCTAAATCATTAGACTAGAGCATGGGATCACTTCAAGACACAGGCTTGAGCTCAAAAAGATAAAAGAAATCAATACCTAGGAAAAAAGAGTAAGACTGATTACCGATGCCCGCAGATTGAGAACAAAGATTGCAAATTATCATTATTTTATTTTTTAAATTTTAAATTATATAATAAAAAATAATTTTTACTCATTCTTTTAATCCATCTCACCCAAGGTTGCATATATTAATTACAATAGTCGACATTTGATTTTATTTACTTTTTAGACACTACTCATGCACATGAAAGAGTTCTGCATTTTTTATCAGTTAAACAGTAAAACCAAATTACAAAAAAAAAAAAAAAAAAAACACAACCTTTCTTTTACACTTTAATATTCTGGATTTGGCTTCCAAACTATCCTCATCCATCACAATGATCTTTTCCAGACTAACATAGGTTTTATACAAAGCATCACTGTCGTTTTGCAAATTAAAATTTTCACATTTCAACTCGAAACCTTATTCAATAGATATTTTTTCCTTTACACTAAGATACCTATAGTCCTTGGCTCTTTTTTTTTTCTTTTTTTCTTTTTCAAAATTCTTCATTATACTAAATGAAATGATCACGTTTGCAAGATAAGTGTGTACTTAATGAATCTTTTAACTATTAAGTTATATAAAAAAAATAAAATTACTTTAATTTTAATAGTTAACTAATTAAATTAATATACATAACATTAGTATTATAATTAATATCAATATTTTTTAGTTTTTATAGGATTTAATAAGTAAAAAATGTATTAATTATATCATTATATGTGTCATAAAGACACAATTAAAAAAATCTTTATTTGATAATAGTCTAGGTCTCTTGCTTATTGAAGATGCTTAAATTGTATATATGGCATAAAAAAGTGTACCAAAAAAATACGCATAGCATTTGCTATGTAAAAGGTTTTGCAGATGTGAGGATTAGGCTGCACGAGGGAACAAGAGGATAAGGTAGAAGGAATGGAAATTTGGACTGATGTGGCCTGAACATGGGTCCCTCCCACTAAAAAATGATTTTTTATTTTAAAATTGAAATTAAAAATGATTATTTTAATAAAAAATTTCACACTTAACTGTCGAATGACCGACGTTACTCTAATGTTAGTAACAGTGAAGGAAGACAACACAATGCTTTTCCGAAGTAAAGGGACGACAACAGCATACTTTTGAAGAGTGGAGGGACGACAATAAATTATTCTGGTGTAAAGGGATAGCAATGACAGAAAATGCACAGTACAACGACTATAATTAATTGACTTAACCCATACATAAACAATAATTTCTACTTAACATACTACTACATAACACATTAACTATGGCGTAGAAGTTTGCTGCTATTTCTTGCAGTCCATTTTGCTGTTCCTACGCTGTCAGTGCGGCTCTCATTTGCTTTTGCTGCCCACTGCTGCAACTTTGACATCACAACTTCAACAGTTTTCACAAGCCCCTCCAATCCATCATTCCATTGTTACAGCCACCACTGTTACTCAGCAAATTCTTCTCTCTAGCTACCATTCCCCACTCAGATTCACTCAAGAACAGAACCGCTGCGTTGGCTGAGCAAAACGCCCCACCAACTCCGGAACAAACAGAAGAAATATCGAAAAACCCCACTCAGATGACGGACCACCAGGTAAAATAGCACCATGACGGACGAATCCCTCAAACAGATCCTAGAGCCTAGAGAACGACTGTGGAGGGACATGTTGAAGTTTTTTTATTTTTTATTTTTATTTTTTGAATTTGAATTTTTTAATTTGTTTTGTGTATGGTGAAACAGCCTAAGATGGAAATAGCTTCTCCCAGTGCGGTTATGAAACAGCCTATCATGGAAAGTGATTCGGGGGATGCTTGGTATGCGTTCTCCAATATGCAGAAATCCCCGACTGTCGAGGTTCAAGAAGTTGTCTCGGATGAAACTGTCCATCCTCAGGAAGAAACGCAAGGTTTAATTTAATTCACAGTTATTTTATCCTCTCCCCTATGCAATAATTATTGAGTGATACTTTAGTAGTATATTACGAGTACTTTTGTTGTTGCAGGAAAACGGAGAAATATATTTTTATTTTAATTATAAATGTCAAGTAATAATAATTTTTAATTAATTTATTTTAAATTAAAACTTAAAACTTGATATATCAATTTATAATTTTTTTAAAAAAAATTCACAAGTATTACTTAATAATTATTGTTTATCTTGTACCCTAGATAAACAATTCAATATGCTTTGCCCCTCAATTTTGGGAAATTTTAATATTTTCGTTTTGCTAACCAATCAGGAAAAATTATTTTCTATTAAAAATTAATAGAATATTTCAAATAACAGGAAATAATTTTTTTTAAAAAAATAATTTTCAGAGAAAAATATTTTCCAATGTGTAGTTATTTTACACCAACCAAATGCACCCTTGTACTTTCTACCTTGTTTAATTGCAATATCTCCATCACTTTCGGCTTTGATTTGTTGAACTGAAAAGCTATAGCTAACCGGGACAAAGCCAGAATATAATTTCAGGGGTGAAGCGTTATTAGAAATATATACGTTAAAAATAAATTTTGTAACTTGTTAATAAGATTAAAATTTAAATGTATAGATACTAAAATTTTAAGGGCGTTAAATATATAAAATTTAGTTAAAATTTATACATAATTAAAATTTAATTATAAACACAATTTATATTACAAAATATTACTTAATATATTTTAAATAGTAAAACTAAATGTTAGAAAAAAAGTACATATCAATTTCTACTTTCAAAAAAATTAGAATCCTAACTTAAAATTACGTCATTTTATTTAATTAAAATTTAATGTAAAATTTAAAAAATTATTTTATTAAATATTAATATTTAAATTTAAGAACTTATTAGATTTTTGAGTTTTGAATTAGAATATCAATTTTTAAATATAAATTGGTACTCTAATTTTTTTAAAAGTTGAGACTGATACGCATTAATTTTTTTTTTTTAAATTGAAATATCAATTCTGAGTCAATTTTATTTGGTTACTTAGTATAAATTATCAGTAACTAAGTATTTATTTCAATTATAAATATGTTAAATAAATAAAAATATTTTCATAAAGGTATTTTATTTATTAAGTGGTTAGAGACTTTTTGTACAATAAAACTTACGGGGCTAGTGGGTTTAAGAGTGTGTTTGGCACTGCTGTAAAATACTGTACTTGTAACTGTGGCTGTGCTTAACTGTGACTGTACAATGATGAAATATGATAGATTTCATTAATTATTAATTAAAATTTAAAAAATATTATATGATATATAATTATTAAAATAGATAATATTTATTATTTTTTAATAATTTTAATTTTTTAATTGTCATTAGTATTAAAATATTAATAAATTAAGATGTAATTAAATTATATAAAATTAAGTTTTAATGTGTAATTTTATAATTATATTCAATATTAAGTGTCTTTTATAAACCTACAGTTAGAAAGCTCTAAAATTAGGTTTCTGATTTTATATATAAAATTATTGTAAATTTACTATGATATTTTACAATTTTAAAAAAATTATTTGAAAAAAATTATTAAACACATATATATTTAAAAATATTATGTAATTACACAAAAAAAATTTTGAACCACAATTCCAAACGCACCCTGATTCTGTAAGTAACACATTTTGTGAGAGCACCACGCATTCCCCTTTTAAAGTAGAAGTGATAGTACATTCTAGTGTGCTGCAGCATCATACTAACATATAGTCCGCAGATGAGCTGCTGCTACGTAGGGCTATTCATATTTGATCAAATCCGATTGATCTGATTTAAATTGATTCAATTCAATCAAAAATCGATTCAAATTGGATTGGTTTGAATTATAAAATTTTAAAACCGATATAATTGGTTTAGTTTGTAATTTTATTTTCAAACCACTCGAACTGTCCGATTACAAAATAAAATCCGATTACAAAATAACTTAATTAAATAATATAATATATTTTTTGTAATATTTTAAAATTTTTTTTTCTTATTTTACAAGATAATAACTCCATTAACTTAATTAAAAAAAATAAAAATAAAACATCTCAATATTCCCTAAGTTATTTTTCCATTTTAATCATATACTCTAACCATAATTCTAAATTTCTAATTCACCTGCAACTCTATCTTTTCAGAACTAGTTTACGCCTTTACTATTAGAATCCTAAATTTTTAATTTATTCTTAAAATAATCTTATGATTCACTTTTATGTTAAATTTTATTCACTTTTAACAGGATTTAAAAGATGAGATTAAATTATTAGTGCATTAAGAAAAAAAACTAATTTTAATCTTTAAGAATTATTTACGCTGTGCTAGAAATTTGAAGTCATCTTTTATTGTTCTTGGTGCCTCTAGTGATGTAACCAAGAAGAATTTTTAGATCTTTTCAATTTTTATAAATGTAAAGAAGTACAAGAACTCGTTTATAATTTGTATTTTTTATTATATTTTACTAATTTGCATGTTAATGTGTTTTGTGGTTATGTTTTTTATTTAATGTTAAAATATTTTTACATTATCTTATATATTTAATAATGTTAAAAACTAATCAATCTGACCGAACAACACTGATCCGATTTAAGTTGGATTGGTTTGATTATCATATAATAGTGGATTGGATTGGTTTAAAAATTTTATTAACCGATTAAATTGAATTGGTTTAAAAAATATTAAAATTCAAACCAAACCACACCGCAAATACCCCTACTGGTACATGCCAAATAAGGAATTAAATGATCAC